ACACACACACACACACACGATGGTCCATTTGAGGTTTGGTAACAGCTCTTTTCTTGCCCTGATTTTTAAGAGTGAATTTCTATACAGAGAGTTAATTTAGATATAAATAGCTGATCCAGTGTCTGTATGTATTTTATATGTTGTATATGTATACACAAACAAAATATAACTTTTCTGAGCAAGCTAAATTGATATTACTATAGTTGACAGATCTATTCTAAAGCTTTCAACCACAGCAGCTGTCATCAAGATGGTTTAGTTGTTATCATGTGACCTTCGAAAGGGGTTTTGGTCATGCAGAAGGAAGGGGTCATATATGGGAGTAGATTGTAACAGTTATCTCAAGAGTGGTCTCTACCGTTGGACATTTAGGTCATATATTAATATTTCTCAATGATAACTGACCATCTTTTAACTGCTGAGGAAAGATTTCGCTCATTGTGGTGTGGCAGGGTTCAGTTGCTCAGGCAATACTCATTTATAAGCAGAACTTAACTGGATAAACATCTCTGTCCTGCCAATGAATCACTTTTCATTTTCAAATTGGAAAAAAAACTTGATCGCCACATATCAGGAAACTTTCCAGACAATTAGGGCCCAATAATGCAGTTGCAGGGTCATGTTTGTTCGGGAATTTAGAGAGCCAATGAGAAACATCATCGTCTAAACAATCCTCACATTCATATATCTGCCAAGTGAAAAAAACCTCTGTGGTGACATAAAGGCTGGTAAGTTTAGTGTTATGAAGAAACTGGAACTTGTCATATAGGTTACCGCTTAACAACGTAATATTGTGGCTCATCTCCTTCACACAATAACAAGAGAATATCAATTACTGGCAGGTCATTTACCAACTGAAGGTCACACACTTATACCTGAACGGTTCTGCTGGCATTGATTTGCTCCTGATGAAGGCGGTCCCATTGCTGGCTATGCTGATACTGCGGGAAATAAAGGAGAAATGATCCATTATCCATCTGTGGAGCGGAAGTGAGAGTGTGTGGACGTGAGGGTGCGATCGTGTGCCGAGCCAGATTTCGACCGTCACCTTCAGTATGTTATTGTGGTGTTTCTGCAGCCTCTCCAGGTCCGTGGGTAGAGCCACTTTAATGAACTTGTGGATTGGTGCCTCCAGGCGCCTCAGTGTCAGCTTGTTGCCTTCCTCTGCCATGTGTCCTGCTGACTGCCCACAGCCAACACCTCTGTGCAACTTGGACACTGCACCTGCTCAGCTTTATCTCACTGCCCCCACAGACACTGTGAATACCAGCAGAGTATGATTTTAATAAATACAGAAATCAAATGAATAAACTCTGTGACACATGCGAGTCTGCCCACACATCTAAAATTGGCACTTTACATGCCACTAATAAATGGTTGTTTTTTTCTTGCCACCATCCTTTTAGCGAAAACAGTAACTTACTGACAGCATAATATCTTAGTACTCGATCAATCAATCAGTCGACAGGAAGTCAATCACAAATCTTGATAATCAGTAGAAGTCATGTATCAAGCATGTTTTCAGCTTCTCAAGTGTTCATGTTAATTAAATACCTTTTGGGTTTTTAGACTGTTGTGTTTAAGTTTCAATACATCACTTTGGGCTCTGAATAATTGTGTTTTCTGTAATTTTTACACTAAAAATCAATCAGAAAACTATGTACAGACTAATAAATGATGCTAATAACAAACAGCCTTTTGTTGCAGCCCTGTAGCTATACAACACTGCACTATGTGAAGGTTAATAATAGTGCTGTATGATACACCTACTGTATAGTTTTAACACTTACTAGAAGCTGATACAAATATCTACAAGACATTCTTCGGCTTTTAGTAAACGCATTACAGTTTTATGTTTAGGTTTAGTTTTGAATCGAAACTGATAATGAGTGCACACACACACACACACACAGCTCGACAACAGCTGGCTAGTTAACAAAAGCTAAATATACGGATTAGCATGATATTAGCTGCCAGCTAAGTGCTGCAGCTAACAGCTCCGTGTGCAGCTTTTATTAACTCTTTATTGGATATGAGCTAACTCACTGATTTAACCAGAAAATCCTGAAACACTTGTCTACTGGTAAACGAAACTTAAAGGACTGAACACTTACCGCTGGAAATATCCTTCGAGGATATAATTTATACTCGTTAAACACTGTTGTGAGCCTCCATGCTGTTGAAAACATCAACTATTTGCTAATATTTGCTGATTTTCGGGCACTCTTTCGGTGTGTTTCTGACACTTTGTTGTTTGTAAACAACTCTCTTCCCAGTGCGTCCATGAATAGTTTCCGACCTCAACCAGCTGCTGCAGCACATTGTGTTCCTCCTCACTGTCCCCGGGAGGGAAAGTTATATTTCTGAAATAATCCTGCAGTGTTTATTTCTCGTGTTGTTTATAAATGATCGTATTATAATTAAGAGTCCATAATCATAATACACAAGTGAAACTGACTTAACACGTAAACCAGTTTCTGCTATCAGCACTTAATGTATTCCAAATCATAAAATATTACATATAAATTCTATGTTTTGACTTGAGCCTATATTTTTGGTAATTTGTTGTTTAATGACATGAGGAGTTTACATTCTACTGTTTACTGTTTTTTAAGGTTAATTATTTGGTTGTTAAAAACTAAATATAATATAAAATCTGACCAAATAGATAAATAGTTAGAATAAAAGGGTTTGGGTGTTTTTTATCATAAAAAATGGAGATACAAGCAACAGAAAATATAATTCAACAGTTAAGTGATTCAATAAAACAAACCAAGAATTGTTGTATTTATGTTAGATATTTAATTTCTCTAAAACATTTTCTCAGGTGGGTGGGGTTTTTCTTGGGAAGTGGGTCATAAAGTTCAATATGACCTCAAAATTTCCAAACTGTTGTCCACAGCTCTGCCATTGGATCATAATCTTTGGTAAAGGGTAGCTCTGAAAGTTACTGTGGGGTCACTATGTGTGGTATTGAAACTCGTGACCTTTCAAAATGCATTGCAATAACTAATAACAGCTATCAAAATGAACATGGTACAATTTCAAGTGGTGGCGATATATCAAAATGATCCTAATCAGGTCACAGCCTCAACATCATTAAATAACACAGATCTGGTTATTAAAAGTTATAAGTATCTGGTTAAAATTATAGCAAAGAAATGACTGATTTGATTTGAAATATATATTTAATATTATATTTATTTCTGTCATTTTCATTCAGCTTTCCACAGTTAGCTACGTATGAACAGCATCGATCCTGTGGAAAGAAACATTAAGTGTGATATTTTTATCTGTGTTGTGTTTGGGAGAGAGATAGAGTTGGGGTTCCCCCTCCTCTACTCTGAGATCAGCCAGTGTGAGTGGGTCTATTGCATGTTTCCACTTCTCTTCTTCGACACCTTTTACCTTTGACATTTAGGCCAACCCCCCACACACTCTTCCCTCAGCGGATGCTCCAAGCGAGGGGCCACAGTGAAACACAGTCCCCAGCTACAGGGGATTTCCCCTGGTGCTATACACATGTTGTGTGTGTGTGTGTGTGTATGTGTGTCTGTCTGTCTGTCCACTTCCAGGGGACTCCCAGAGTTGCAGACTGAGGGGGAAGAACAAAGCTGACAGTGAATGTCTAAATAGCAAGTCATCAAAAATATTTGGGTTCATGTGTCTATCTGTGTGTGTGTGTTTGAGGCTGAGGAGGACTCAGGTGCGATTCGTCTAATCCAGGAAGTTTGTCAGCAGGAGAGGAAGCCAGCAGGGAGCTCCGTTCGCTTCTTACCTCCTGCATCTTACTGGTTTTTAAAGCAGGTGTGACCAGCACATCCTGATGGCTCAGTGGATATAGACCTTTTTTCACAGCAGACATCTTGACTTGTCATAGTAGGAGAAGCTCAGGTGTTACTAATAACATTAATAATGGCTTCATTCTGTCCCAGTAAGCCATGGCAGTGGAACAGTGAGCCAGCATGCCATAACGCAAACTGAAGCAAGTAAATGGATTTCAGCCATCATAAAATGTATTGTTTACACCTGTGCTTTATGGACTGTGACATGTAAAAAATGTCTATTCAGATCACAACCTACTGCATGTTTTTAAAATGCCTTGCAGCTCTTCACATGTACACATTTTGCTACCATCACTCATAAAGGGGTCATTTTACATTTCTGAATGGATAAGGATAAATTATGAACCCAGAGCTAGAAAAAAAAAACAGCTGCTTTAAATGTGTGTGTGTGTGTGTGTGTGCATATGTATGTGTTTGCGTATTTATGTTCTAATGGGACCTCTAATTAAAACTCTGGGGGTATCTGCTATCTGTCAGCACTGATCGATTGGCCAGGAGACTGACAGCTCACTGTGTGTGTGTGTGTGTGTGTGTGTGGTGTGTGTGTGTCTGTGTTTCAAGCTCCAAGCAGAGCTATCTGCTTCGTGCTCATGTTTTTTTACTTGTCACTCAGGCATGTCTCTGTCATACAAATAGGATTAACACACATTAATTTGCACACGTGCGCACACTCACACCACTATAAAAATAGTGTGAATGGTCTTTTCCCACCTGCTGATCAAACACACAGACATCACAATCCCTGACAGAAGCGTGAGATGTGTGACAGATTCTTGTCTCTCACATGACACACACATGCACACACACACAGAAATACAAGCACACTTCCTTATTATCTACCAAGTTATTGTGTTTCTGGATCATAAAATGTCTGTTTTATTAGGACGTGACAAATTTAAATATCAAGGGATAGAAGATGTGATGCAGTTTCACATCACAGATTTGATCATATGTCACTGTGCGTGTTGCATGTCTCATGTCTTCACACTTCTATACACAGAACTTTACTCTGGTGCACTTCTATCGCTCTCTGTCTCTCTCTGTCTCTCTCTCTCTCTCTCTCACACACGGATAGAGCTGTTCACAATTTCACTACCACAGTTACTATCAATCACCTGCCTGTCCGAGAGAGAGTGAGTGTGTGTGTTAGTGCTCACGCTGGAGCACGAGTGAGTGATGGCAGTGACAGTATAGACGGCATGTGCTGTGAAATGTCACCGTGGCGATCGATGGTATTTAACGAGGCTGGAGGCTGATCTGGACCTCATGCTAACATGAAGCTCTCCTCTCCTCCCTCTTCCTCCCCCGCTCCTCACTCTCCTAATCCCCCCTCTACTCTCTGTGAGAGCCCAAGTGTCCCTCGGGAGAGAGACGAGGCCTTTTACCTGTCAAGAGGCTTTTGTGTCTGACCAGACACACACACACACACACACACACACACCTGTATTCTGTATAAAACCATCCAGATTTGGTCTTTTGATTACTTTTTTAAAAGTCTTGAAACAGTGCAATGTTTGGATATTTTTTCTTTTTTTAACATTTTGTGTAAAAAATCAAAACACAGGAAACAGTTGGGCAGAATAATCAGAACTAGTTTATAATTTCAAAGTGCTGAACAGAAAATCCAGTGAACCAAAGAGAAAGAAAAAAAATAATTGAACAGGAAACTCAAACCAAAGAGGGACATTGAAAAAACAGCAACTTTTTTTCTTTTTTGTTTCTCTTCTTCAAAAAACAATGCACAACTCGTACCACAATATTTGAAAAAGCTAAAAACACTTCAAAATATTAGTTTTGTATATATATATATATATTTATATTTATATCTATATAATTTGCTTTTTTTCATATTTCAAACTGCTGCCGTGAGTGTGTGAGTGGGTGTTGGAGGCCCAGGGAGATCCCCATAGAGCCGCAGTCTGAGACACAAACACAGGTCGAGCTGTTTTGACAGGCTATGGCAGCTCTTGACAGCTTATAACACACCATGCATATGATCCTGGCTTCTCTAAGCATACACACAAAGACAGTATGCAGCCATGTCCTCCACACTCTCACACGGCCTCCACAATAGAAACAAATAGAAAAAGAGCATGACTGCGGAATGTTTCACCCCTGGACGTACAGCTATCTGTCGAGCACCCTCCTCTCCCCGACTCCCCGCCGCCCTCCAGGGGAGCAGGTAGGGTGTGTGTCTGTGCTTCTAGCCCTTCTCAGGGTGTAAGTGCTTCAAAAGCCAATTTATGTCCATGTTCATTCCTCCGTACTCCTACTCGACCTATGATTTCAAAATGAGTTAATAAAAAAAAAACATACTAGAGCAAGTTCAAGTCTGGGTGACTCGGTCATCAATCGTTAGTGCACAGTATCTCCTCTGCTTCCTAAAACCAGACGGAGACTGTCTCTCTTTCTTCTAGCTACTGACAACACAGATCGAGTCTTTGTATTAAAATAATTTAGAGTTTGAAATTAAACCGTTCCTGCTCCGTCTCTTCCTGTTGTGGGGTGATAGCACTTCAGAAATTGCACTTGGAATCAAGAGCCCAACTCAGCCACCTCCACGTGTTTGTGAAATATCTGTGTCCTGCTTTGGGATGTTTCTGCGCGTCTACGCTGTCTGACCTCTTACACTTAAGTACATTTCAGTATGAAAACACCCCCTTCCTTCTCTCAGCAAGAGGAACTAGAATGCACAGCAACTTGTTTTTCACTGGGACATGTTCAGCTTTGAAAACATTTGATCACACTGACACCTCCCCTTCCCTCTTTGCTAAAAAGAAGTCCTCAGACTGGATGAGCCAAGCCAAAATACAGATAGACAGTACTCATAAACCTTGGTGTTCTTGTTTGCTGGATGAGCTGCCACCCGGACGGAGAGAAGACAATAAAAAGTCATTTTTCCGTCGTCCATCTCAGCCTCGTCATCCTCCCCACATGAGAAAAACGGGAGGATCAAATAAAAAGTGGTAAAGCGTTTGTGTATTTGTCTTTTATACTGGTGAAAAGCATTTAGTTGGTTGTCCGTTTGAGTGAAAAGCATTTGATTGGCTCTCTCTGCCCTGCTTCAGTCAGAGGGGAGTGAGTCTCGCTTCTGGATGTGTGTGCGTGCTCCTGAACAGGAAGTGACGTGGGTTTTTCTCTGTGTGGTCAGCCCGGGCCATCAGTAGGGCAGAGTGTCCAGGAACCTGTCAATCAATGGAGGGGGCGGTACCAGGTCCTCCAGCTTCAGGTAGAAGATTCGTTGAAGGCCCTGGGTCCTCTGGGAACGGAGCTCTGCCCTTAGACCCAGAATACGACTCAGAGGGGGCACAGCCTTGGACGAGGAGGAAGAAGGGCCGCAACCCAAGTGGTCTCTGAGACAACAAATCACTTTATTCTGCAGCTCCTCAACCCGCTTTGAGTCCTTCAGACCTGGGACTTGCTCTGTGGATAGACAGACAGACAGA